TAAGGACAGAGGGCGCACTTACAAGTGCTTCATGGCCATTCTTATAGTATTGATAGATGGTTTTCATATCTGATCTCCTCAGTCACCACTAGAAGTAAGTTTTAAAAACAGGAAAAAGCAGATCTGGCTTTAAGGATTTTCCATTTACTTTCAAGATTAAAATGAACACCACCAGGAAAACTCTCTAAAACAACAACAAAAAAATGTACCTGAGGCAGAACTTAGTACAGGGTTAAATTGGTACCTTTATTTTTGGCAAGATGGGTTGCAAGAAAATTTTCAACTACCAAACAGGTGAATTATTACTGTCTAGCTATCCCCATACATCCTTGGGGCCTAACAATAAACAGGTTTCTTTAAAAAGATTCCTTTTTGGCGCTTGAAATACAAGCCACAGAATAACTCAATACCAATCTATATGTCCAACACCAATCTATAAAGTCCTCTTCACACTCATGAAACACATGCAATGAAGCCAAATGCAGGACGATCACAAGCCAGTGGGTAGAAAGTCTATGGGTCCAGTGGCATTGTAAGCATCTCAGTGCCGGCAGGGGTCTCTCTGTGGCTTCTCCAGCTTCCGAGGTCTGGTTGCGTCCATGGCTTGTCTTCTGCAATTTCTCCCAGGGAGTAGCAGAGAGAGAGAGGTGTCTTCTGCCTCCAAGGAAGAAGTACCAGATTTTCCAGCATTCTCAGGAGAAGGGCATGCCCACACAGAAGCCTCATTGGCTGTCCAGATTTACACCTAGCCTCCACCCCTACACTCTTACTACTTAAATTGACACCAGATTAGGTGACTCCCACAGAGAGATAATGTCTCGCATATTTTGGACATATTATCAGGAGGAAGAAGTCCCAAAAGAAGGATATCATGCTTAGCAAAGACTCAACAACAACAACAAAAGAAAGGCCCTTGATGAGATGGATTGGTCCAGTGGCTGCAACAATAGGCTCAAACTTAACAACTGTGAAGCCAGTGCAGGGATGGGCAGTGTTTCCACTGTACATGGAGTCACTATGAGTCGGAACTGACTGGCTGGCACATAGCAACGACAGTAACAGAAACAGTCTAATTGGCTTCTCCTCCATAGATCACCTAAGAGAAGCCTTCAGTTCTCACCATTAGGCTCTACATGCATCATTAAAGGCTCTGTAGAAAATATCAGTTGTATGGTGTATGCTCATAGAAACAACAGTGTTAATTCTTTCCTACAGAAACCGATGACTCCTGCTCTACCTCATCTTCCTCTAAATGTTTCCTTTTAAACCAAAGTTATGGTTCAGTGCGACTGGAAATTAAAGACCATGGCATAAAGATCAACATCTAGGCTGGTACCAGCGAGGACAGAACATTAAACTCACTGCTCAAATTTCTCTTTCCTTGAACACTAAAAAAGATTACTTAATGTACGTTCCTTTTAGGCTTTTCCACCTGTGTCTCTTAAGTCACAAACTATTTTGAATAAAATAAGTACATTGGAAGTGGCCTTTGGTTGAGATGAAATGGAAGAGTTGCAGCATGTCCCCTTCCCACAAAAACAAAAAAAACAACACCTATCCTATTACCTACTGCCACAATCTTAAAAAAGTACCAAGAAAAAGCCGAGGGCTTTATTGTATAGAGGTGAATGTAATCAGCTGACTCATATACTTCCAAGTCTTTGACTCCACCAAGCTTGCTCCAGGTACTTTTGCCTCCTACCTGATTGTTTTCCAGATTGTGCTTCGGCAATATGATTGATACCAAGGTATCCACAATTTTACTTCTCATTTACAAAATTTTCATCCCTTTACTTTATGGCTCCCGACAGATAATCTGACTATAATTTCCACCACAAGTTTGTCATGACTTTAGGGGGTGGTTCCAGACACCCAGGATTAGAACTTCCGTTAGAGCATCACGGTTGAGTAGACAACCTCCAGCTTCTCTCCCTTTAAGACACGAAAACAGGTGCTGGCAAAGCACCGAGTGCTGCTCCTCACACAACCACCCCCGCAGAAGACCCTCACCAGATCGCCAAGGCAAGCTCTGAAGCAGAGATTGATCGAGTACACACAATAAACCCAAACCAACTCACACCCGCTGCCTCCTGCGTCAATTCTGACTCACGGTGGCCCCAGAACTGCCTACGAATCACTGGATTGGTTATCCGAATAAGACAGGTAAAGAGTATCAGAGGAAAAACAAGAGGAGCAAGAACTCGAGGTGAACTGATTTCTGTTATCCTTTTTAAGCAACGCGAACACACAGAAGCATGGAATTAACATTGGAGAGAGAAGCCTTATCAACTTGCTGCGGTGACTTAAAAGTTGTCTTTTCTCAAGTCAACTTTGCTGAAACACTTGATTCATGTTGTTCTTATTTAACCTAATTTGCATTGAGTTAATCAGTGCTGGTATGCTTTAAATACATAATAAATTGGGTTTCTGCAACTTAGATGACTTAGAATAGCTAAATTTCAATAAAACTCATTTCAATCTGTTAATGTATACGGTTGTGCCAAGGGGTTTGAAATTGTAGAAAAGATGCAAAACTTGCTGCCTTAGAGGTGGCAAAGGTTTAAAGATACCATCCAGATGAACGCATTGAGAGCATAGTAATGTGAAAAATCGGTGTGGGTGTGTGGAAGATATATATACATACATACACACACATACACAGCTTGATCACAGACAATAAACATCTTCTTTTTGGTATTATACTTAGAAGAAAAGTCACATATAAATGCAGTGAATCTAATTTTATTATTTTCCCTACTTGCCAGCATTCAACTCTTTCCTGTTTCTCTGTACCAGCTCTACAAATCAACTGACATCCAAAGTGGGATCTCTTCTTGCCCATTTGGCAGCCTCAGTCACCACTTTGCCAAGCTGCCTGCATTGGGAGGATTTTCTTCCCAGCAGCCATGGGGATTGGGTGGCTTGTACCTAAAACGTGTGCTGAATGGCTGGCCGCTGCTTACCCCCTCCCCACCAACCTTTTAGAGTTTATGGCTCAATCAGCCGGACTGTTGTCAGGAATAATTGCATTGGCAAGAGGTGAAACCACTTGATGGTGAAGTTGTCTGTTTAAGTGTTCTGCAGCACCTCAGACGTGCCAGGAAGGAATCTGCAGGTGCTAGGACCAGAGTGGGGGAGAGTAAACCACCAAGAATGGCAAAGAAAGAACAACATGCTGGGGACGACCATGAGAAAACTCATTGGTGTCAGTAAAGCTGTGTGACCTTAGATAATCCCGTCATGTATCTGGGTCTCAATTTCATCATGTGCAAAACCATGAGGGTTTATTTTCTAATGTCTCTGCTAGCTCCTAAGACAGCATGTGATGTCTAGGGCCTTTCAGATTTGTGTTCCTTCCAATTAAATGATGCATCTCAGAAACAGATGATGACCAGGGCAGAGCTCAGATGAATGCAAAACGGAATGATTCATGCCTTTGTTCATATGACTTTTCCTGAAAAGTACCTCTGCTCTTTGGTGACTTTGATTCCATTGGTTGGGCTCTTCAGCTTGAATGCTAAGGAACAACCAGTTCTTGTCCCAAATCAATCTAACCTAGAAGCTCTGGTAATCCACCCTTCCTGCCTATCGAAGTAAAGACCACTCTCATTAATGGCCACTTATTTTCAACGTGAGGCAAACTGAAGGGAATTCAAAGAGAGGGACTGGGGATTCACATTTCATTTTCCTGGTCACCTCCTTGGGACTGTGTTGCCAGGACCCTAAGACTTTGCTTACATTCACTCTTCCTAGCAAGGCTTCTCAGGCATCTTTAAGGATAGTCTTGTTATGATTTCTACAGAAAACTAAATTGTCATTAGCAATGCAGATCCCATATACACACACATAGAAGAGAGAGAGAGAGAGAGAGAGAGAGAGAGAGAGAGAGAGAGAGAATCCCTACTTACAAATGGTGGGGAACGGAAATGAGCAGATATCAGTTAAAGGCGGTTGTTCATACGTTGAGGAAAAGTACAACAATTTAGTACAGCCTGAAAGCTTAATTAAGGGTGTGTAAGGAAGTGGAGTGGAGCAGGCTTCCTTACCGTTTCCTATGCCCCTGCCCCATCCCTCCTGCAGCACATGTTTCCCCGGGTGCCCTGCCAGGCATAGTTGTCAAGATGACCTGAACATGTCAGGGTCAGCCCTTCAGTGTCAGACACAGAATGTCTTTAATCCGCCGGGACTCCATAGCTATCTGTGGAGAGTGAAGACGCCCCAGAGAGATCGCAGTCAAGCCTTCCAGTATACAGACATGCGTTTCTGCCTGGCTGGGTCTCACCCTCAGGGACTGAGATGGCTCCCTAGGCTGGTTGGGGTTGGAAAACATTCCTCCATCCACAACCAAAAAGGGCGGCCTACTGCAGAATTCCAGTGTGCCCGCAAGGGAAAAAAAACCCAAACAACCACCATTAAGCCAAGCCACCAAAGCATTGCTTTCCCAGCCTACTCTTAAGTTGCTGAGCCAAATGTTGGTTTCTCTACAGAGTTCTAGGCATCTCTTACACGGAGACAGCTTTAAAGAAGAAAAGGAGGGCGGGGAAGGATGCCAAAAGAGAAAGGGGAGCGAAGAGAGTATTTCAGGTTCCCACTCGGAAATATCTTCTCTGTGGACGAGGCCACGCTTCCCTCCACCCCCTTCTCCCCATTGATGACACATGGATCCCCCAAGCTGAAAGTGCTTTCCGTTTCATCCAAGAACATACATTCCACTTGCGTGGCTCCGTAAAAGGTTGGTCTTCTGCCCACCCCTTTGCGATCTGCCCGTGTCTGAGGTGCACGGGGAAGACGCACCATCGTGAGCAGCTTACGACACGCAGTGAGCAGTCGGTGCCTGTGCAAGCTCGCGCCGCACACCGCCTGGCGGAGGGACAGAGCCTGCGCGCCGCCCGCGCCTCCCCGCCGCCCGCCGCCTCCCCGCCGCCCGCCAAGCATGAGCGAGCCCGCTCCTCGCCGCCGCCCCGGGCGCGAATGGCAGGTGGTCTCCGCGGAGTGAAAGGCGGCGCCGGCCAGTGGTCCTTTCCGATGACGGACATTAACGAGCCCGTCAAATCCTGGGGAGACGCGAGCCCCGAGTTGGGAGTTCTTCCCCCCGCACAACGTCACAGTCCGAACTGCAGAGGGAAGGCACGGCGGCAGGCAGGCGAAGCCCGGGCGCCGGCACGGAGTTGGGAAACTTGCGGGTCCTAGAAGTCGCCTCCCCGCCTCGCCGGCCGCCCCGCGCCGAGCAGCAAAGTGAGACATTGTGCGCCTGCCAGCGCCGCCGGCCGCGGGGACACAGAGGGGGCTTCTCTCGCCCTGCATCTAATTAGCCGGCACACAAAGGGAGCAGCTGAATGGAGGTTGTCACTCTCTGGAAAAGGGTGGGTAAGACACTTTTTAATTAAATTCGTGCCCGGAGATTTTTTCCCCCTTTTTTTTGTTCCTTTCCCCTCCCTTTTCTTTGCTGCAGCATCTAACATGGACCAAATCACCTCCTCTTTGATCTTTCCGTAGCTGTGAACTTTCTATGCTGCTCAGCTTTCTGCATGCTTGGAGGTGACTGTGTGGTTTTGGGGAGGGGGGAGAGGAGGGCTTTCTTTCTCTGTATATATTTATTTGATTTTTGCCCTTTTCTCCTCTCGTCCCCCCCCGCCCCCACCCCGGAATAAAATATGATGTAGATTTCTGACCGAGCGCTTCCAATGGACATTCTCCAGCCTCTCTGGAAAGATTCTCGCTAATGGATTTCCTGCTGCCCGGGCTCTGTCGATCGTGGCTGCCGAGGAGGCCCTCGGGGGTGGTCTGGTGTCTGCTGGGGGCCTGCTTGCAGATGCTGCCCGCCGCCCCCAGCGGGTGCCCGCAGCTGTGCCGGTGCGAGGGACGGCTGCTCTACTGCGAGGCGCTCAACCTCACCGAGGCGCCGCACAACCTGTCCGGCCTGCTCGGCTTGTCCCTGCGCTACAACAGCCTCGCGGAGCTGCGCGCCGGCCAGTTCACGGGGTTAATGCAGCTCACGTGGCTCTTTCTGGATCACAATCGCCTGCGCTCCGTGCAGGGGGACGCCTTTCAGAAACTGCGCCGAGTGAAGGAACTCACGCTGAGTTCCAACCAGATCGCCCAGCTGCCCAACACCACCTTCCGCCCCATGCCCAACCTGCGCAGCGTGGACCTCTCGTACAACAAGCTGCAGGCGCTGGCGCCCGACCTCTTCCACGGGCTGCGGAAGCTCACCACGCTGCACGTGCGGGCCAACGCCATCCAGTTCGTGCCCGTGCGCATCTTCCAGGACTGCCGCAGCCTCAAGTTTCTCGACCTGGGATACAATCAGCTCAAGAGCCTGGCGCGCAACTCCTTCGCCGGCTTGTTCAAGCTTACCGAGCTGCACCTGGAGCACAACGACTTGGTGAAGGTGAACTTCGCCCACTTCCCGCGCCTCCTCTCCTTGCACTCGCTCAGCCTGCGTAGGAACAAGGTGGCCATTGTGGTCAGCTCCTTAGACTGGGTCTGGGACTTGGAGAAGATGGACCTGTCGGGCAACGAGATCGAGTACATGGAGCCCCACGTGTTCGAGACCGTGCCGCACCTGCAGTCCCTGCAGCTGGACTCCAACCGCCTCACCTACCTAGAGCCCCGCATTCTGAACTCCTGGAAGTCGCTAACTAGCATCACCTTGACGGGGAACCTGTGGGACTGCGGGCGCAACGTGTGCGCCCTGGCCTCTTGGCTCAGCAACTTCCAGGGGCGCTACGATGGCAACTTGCAGTGCGCCAGCCCCGAGTACGCGCAGGGCGAGGACGTCCTGGACGCCGTGTACGCTTTCCACCTGTGCGAGGATGGAGCCGAGCCCACTAGCGGCCACCTGCTCTCGGTCGTCACCAACTACAGTGATCAGGGACCCCGCGGCGGCGCGATCACCACCCTGGCGGATGGCCGTGAGGGGCAGCCCGACAGCACGCTGGAGCCAGCCACTGTGGCTCTCCCTGGAGGCGAGCACGCCGAGAACGCGGTACAGATCCACAAAGTGGTCACGGGCACCATGGCCCTCATTTTTTCCTTCCTCATCGTGGTCCTGGTGCTCTATGTGTCCTGGAAGTGTTTCCCCGCCAGCCTCAGGCAACTCAGACAGTGCTTTGTCACGCAGCGCAGAAAGCAAAAGCAGAAACAGACCATGCATCAGATGGCTGCCATGTCTGCCCAGGAATACTACGTTGATTACAAACCGAACCACATCGAGGGGGCCCTGGTGATCATCAATGAGTATGGCTCCTGCACCTGCCACCAGCAGCCCGCCCGGGAATGCGAGGTGTGAATGTCCCAGGGGCCCTGCGCCCCTGCACTACCAAATACCACTGGGCAGCAGGGCTGGCCGGTGGGTGCCAGGCTGGGGTCTCCTAGTCTGTCCTCTCATGCTCCTTGACTGAAACTGTAAGGGGATCTCTCCCAGAGACTTGACATTTTAGCTTTATTGTGTCTTAAAAACAAAAGAAACAAATAAAACACAACAAAACCCCACCCTACAACCTTCAGGACAGTCTTAAATTTCATATGAGAACTCCTTCCTCCCTTTGAAGATCTGTCCATATTCAGGAATCTGAGAGTGTAAAAAGGTACCAATCATCAATTTTTTTTGTAAACTAAAATGTTTAAAATAAAATAGCATTTACAGTTTTTACAGAGTGGTGTAACCTAAATTCCTTGTTATTTGTGCTGAGGAGAGAAGCAACTATTAAAATGACCTTCCTTGGGGGGTTGGGGGCCCCTGGGGGAGATCTAGTGGCCAGAGAGAAAAATCTCCCAGCAAAGTAGTCAGATTCAATTAGAAATGTTAAGAATCGGGACAAACACAGGTTTATCACTACAGTAATCGAGTAAAGACTTAAGCAATAGCACAACCTTTTGCACTCTTTTTAGGTTGGGGGGTCGGGGGCAGTGAGAACCACTTTAAAGTGAGTGAAAGATAGATTGAGGATGGAACATCATTGCTCAATTTCTTAAGGCAGAGAATATTGCAAATGGCTTTTGAAAGCCCCTGCTAGACAGTTTATCTTATGAACAAGAAATATTTTTTGTCTATAATGTAACCATCTTTCAAATGAAAATCTCAATCCTAAATGCAACTGGTTCATAATTCTCTGAAACCCCTGATTCACTAGACTTGGTCACGTTTCTGTCCCCTTTGCTGCCCTCCCTGGTGAAAAAGCGTCCCTCCAGCTCCTGCTCCTTGGAGTCTAGCTGAAAGGAGGGAAGCAGCATCCAAATGTACAGGGAGGAAAGCTGTGCTTCCCCAGCCCAGTCCTCAAACTGCAGCAAGCCCCAGCTCCAAGCAGTGCTGGCACACTCCTAGTTAAGATGGGCAAAGATGAGCCAATCCTACCTGGGAGGAAGGGAGAAAGGCCTGCAGGGTAATGACTTGTAGCCAGGCACATTAGAGGCAGATAGGATCCAGGGAGAGTGGGAGATCATCAGTTGGTAATGTTTGCACATTACTGAATCTAGGAATTATTAAGGGGAATAATAGGAATAAATGAAGACCAGTGAGCATTTGGTACCCCACGATAGAAAAGCTGTTTCATTCGAGATTGCCGTTTTGTGTAATGCTTGCTTTTCCTGTGTTTCATTTTTATATTCTGCTTTTCTGTGTTCAAAGCAATGATTGCCTCTTCCACTCCCTTGCTCCTCAAAGGTTTCAGCTTCCATCATTGAGATCTAAGTTGTTTATTGAACTAAACAAATGAGGAGGGGATGGTAGCAGCGGTTGGTGGATGTGGGTGAAAAGGAAGGGAAGGAGTGTGTGTTGGAAGGGAGGGGTCTTTCACGAGTTGACAAGCAAATGTATGATTGAAATAAACTCATGGGTGACAGATGGTAACAACTGAAGCAATGTTGTCCTTGTCCAGAAGTCTCTCTCACACTCCGGTGTCCACTCCCCTATGTGGGACTAGACTCGGTGGTTTGTTTTGTTTTAAGAGAGAAGTCCAAATAACGGGAAGAGGAACGGAGAAAACCAGTGGCTACTGTCTCTGAACGTGCAAACGCCTCCAGCAACCTACAAAGTCAGCTTTTTTGAAATGCAGGATGATCCCACCAGTAAGCTCACTGAAAATAGAATTGGTAGGCTTCTCATCTACCTAAGGAAAAAGCATTATATCAAAATATTGTTTTTAAGAGGCTACTCAAGAGAATGTATGGACTAGGGAGAGGGCTTCTTTATCACACACACACACACACACACACACACACACACACACACACACACACCAGCTAATTATTCTGGACCAGGACATTTTACCCTGCTTTGTCCATAAGTAAACAAGACATTCTGACACACCTACCATACACACAACACCCACTCAGTCTGTGAATGTTCTAGAAGAGAGGTGCTTTGTTTGGTGACTTTGAGGAGAGGGTTTGGGATTTCGTCCAGGCATGATTATTAATTATCCTGCCCCGTTGAGGGTTGGAGGGTAGGAGAGTAGGAGGAACACGGCCCTCTCAGGGTTGTGCCTCTCATCTTTAATGAACCCCACTACAGAGTCCTTCCCTGGGAGACATGCTTTTGCGGAGGGGGGGGGGAGTTGAGGGGAGGTGTGGATTGGGGAAGGAAATCCCCAAATTGTGTCAATTGAAAGAGAACGACTTTGATCCCATTAATTTAACTACCTGGTAGGAAGGCTACAGGAATCGAGTGCCTAAAGCAGCTCTGGCATGCTGAGTTAAGGGTTGTATTGGTGTGCTTAGAGGAATTGCTTTCCAGAAGCAAAGCCTCTCAGGCAAACATCAAAACCACAAGCTCCCCTTACACCTCACCACCAGCACCACCACTAGAAATAGGGGTATAAGAAACTAGAGAGTGTACCCCCTTACCCGAAGACTTCTTTTTTCTTTAAACAGCCATGAGAGAGAGAGAATGATGCTGTCTTATTTTTCTGCTGCAACCGCCAGCCCCCATTAAACCTAACAGCATGTATGTAAATGATACTTAAGTCCCAGTAAGTCTAATAGAAGATCATGCTGAAGAGGGACCTGTAATCAGAGGCCTTGAGAACGAAGTGTGGCTACAGAAAGCTGTCTGCTTACTCTGTGTGTGTGCGTGTCTATACAGTGCTGCGTAGTGTGTCCACATAAGCATGAAAAGATGTTTGCTACACAGAAGAGAATAAGCTCACAACATTTCATGCTCATGGACCTCTTGCTTTAGAGAACGGCAGGGAGCAGAGGAAGAAGACCAAAAAAAGGGAAAGTGGTAGTTGCAGCAAAGGTTTTGTGACTTTTGCAATCTTTTCTTTCCCAAATTAATTAATCTCTAAGCTTCAGAAAATTTGCTCTGACCCCTCTGAGCAAACTACCAAGCAGTTAAAGAGAATCTAATTTTCAAAGGTGTAGCACCTTTCTTGTTGGTGTTCTTCCTATAGAGGGTGCTAATCCCATTATTCTGTGCTCTCTGGAGAGAAGTTAAGGCCACAATTCACATTTCGTCATGGGTGGTGGGGTGGATTCACCCTCCATTTGCAGGATCTTCCTAGCTGATTAACGTTCAGCGATAGTATTGAGGTTTTTCAAATATTTATACGGAAAAAAAACAACCACCATCGTTTCTGAAGACAAATGACACTCTAACACCAGTTTTAGCCCTAGTGATTTTGAAAGTCGTGCCAGAAAGAGCAGCTTACTCAGAGACAAACTGCAGCCCTGATAGTGCTTTCAGGCAAGCTCGCCAGCCCACATTGCCCACACCATGCGTGCGCCTTGTTCTCGGGACTCCAAGTTACCGTCACAAAGTAAAGGGAATTCACCTTTATGGAATGGAAGCATTTCATTTTAACCAATTTCAAAAGCAAACATAAACTAACAAGAGCCCCTGTGGTTAAATATTCCTCCAAGCTCCTCCAAGTGTAAGAGTGCTTACCTTTTCTCCGTGCCTTTAGGAAAGCAGACATTTGGTATGAGTTAGCACCAACAACACATTTATGAGATGTGTAAGTAATTAGAGGGGGCAAATGCCACTTGTTATTCCTCCCAAGAATCCTAAGCAACTACATACATTACTGAGAGGATTCGGGAGTGCCTATGTCACTGGGTTATATTAATGGACTTGTCAGCAAGATTGCTGCCTCATCGCTATCTGGAATGACCATCTACAATGCGGTACTAGGGGGTACTAGCCCTCTCATCCGAAAGCATTATGGAAAGACCAGACTTTCTTCCTGTTTTTGAAAAATGGGTGTTACAGTGGTTGCTGGAAAATAAAGCAATCTTCTGTTATCTCCTCTCGATAAGTGACTATGTTGGTTGATTTGGATTGGCCATTGATGGAATGTCAAATGACAAGTGAATGATTAGAATGTGATAACTAAACAGGCTCCCAAAATAGTTTTAGGGAAGTTATACATATACACACATACACAGCCAAATTCAAGTGAGTATATATGTGTGTTATGTATATATATATTCATGTGAGTATATATATGTTATATATATACATATTTAACTGCACACACATTCACATTGTACATTTTCCAGTATTAATTACACTCATACTTTTGTTTTCCTTCTTTCAGGACAGAACCCAAATCCAATAAAATCCGTTGTAATTAAGGCATAAAGGACAGATATGGCGACCTGTGTTTCTAGACGTTTGAGAATCGTCCGGGTTGTTCTGCAGGCTAGACGAGCTTCAGGGTCCCTCGGACTGTACCAGCAAAGGGCACTGTTCATTTGAGAATGTTTTCTGCCCCAGGATTTAGTAAACACACATTTTACCATTAAAATATGCTTTACAATGGTTCTTTTCTAGGGATCCAGGACACAAAATGCGTATCTCTGACTAGAAACCATCTCTGAGCCTTCTTCAACTGGACTTGATTCCTCAAAGCCTTTGTTTGCTTAATCCAAAGCCGGGGGCCCAATTTGTGCATCTTTCAAGGTTACAGTATGTTCACCCTCATAATACGCACATTATAGGGTTATACATTGTTCCATGATGTGCAAACTCCCCCCCTTTCCACTATTTTCATGAACCTGGTATACCAATTTTTTTTCCATCAGGCTGCCTTCATTTTACTTTAGTTTCTGCCCAGTGGGTTCAATGCTGTCTTCCTTTGGGTACCTATTGACACAGAGATTCATTTTCCAGCATCAGCCCCTCACCAGCCTACCCATAATTTTCTAGGTAGCCCCTTTCTGGACAGGATCTCATTCCTACTCTATAAACTTCTTTCTCTAGTAGAGGAAGAAGTCACTTTTTCAGTCACAGAAAGAGCCCTCGCCATAGTGGCTCACCCTAGCCAGGGGTTGTGTGGTGTCTACTACATACCCTGGGCCAGAGTTGGAGAGACCAGCATCTCTCAGTTCTGTGCATTCCACCCTGCCACCCAGCTGGCCAGCCACCATATTCTTGCCTTTGCTCACAGGGATGCTACAGAATGGCCATGAGAGCCGTGGACACAGAGAAGTTGTTCATGCTCTGCTCCAATGAGAAGGCCTGACTGGCTGCTCAGGGGCCAGGGCTGGGGCAGTGCACACCAATATCTGCATCCTCCCGCTGCACAAGTGCCAGTGGGGCCAACACCATGGGAGCCAGACATGCATGGACAGTGGTTCTTACCCCTCATTGTACCAGCCTGTGCTGGGACGGGGTCAGTAGTGTGTACAGCCTTCTACCTCCGCCTGTCCAAAGTGCAAGTCAGGAAGACGACAAGGAATTCCACCACTCAGACACAGCAGCAAACTACCCCAGAACAAACATTGTCTCAGTTGTATATTTTCTGACTATTGTGATCTGACTATGAAATAGAATCAATTGCATGGCTGTGAGACTAAACTCAATCCATGACTTCTTAACGGTGGCTTATATTTTTATGATGCAGAGAGGATTAAAAGCAACATTTTCTGACTATTGAAGGAAGGACCAAATTCACTTCTGGAGACGTCTTGAGACCTTCCTGGTGTACGCTTGGGCACACTTTGCCAGAACTAATTTTTACATAATCTCATCATTTCCACCGGCTACGTGTGTGTTCAGGTTATCTGTGTGAGCATATTACTCATGAAAAAATACAGAAATGAGAAATATTTGGAGGAAAATATAATGTACTGAGTGACCACTTTACCTAAATTTCAATCTCTGAAGGTGGGGGTAGGAGCCCTATTTTTTTTTTTTGTTTTTTTTTTGTTTTGTTTTGTTTTTTTAACATTTTATTAGGGGC